ACACGCAATGAAACTGATCGTGTACGATATCAAAGCTGAATCGTGTACGATTATTTACACACAACGAAACTGATCGTGTACGATCAGATGAAACGTGTTGGATATGAGATCGTGTACGATGTCATGAGATCGTATACGATATCCCAGATAGACACATTGATCCGAAATTTGACTGCACAGACTGACTTAGTGTCACCAAATAATCAGCTGGCGCAGAATAGGAAAAGGGCAAAGCAGCTCTGAAACAGGAGTTTATCGACAATATATAAGATAATCCTTTCTTTCATTTCTTTCTTTCATTTTGCTGTTTTTGTTTTTACTTTGAGGATCATGCGAGTGATTATCCCTTATCTTCTCATCGGCAAGCATTACACTGAAGATAAAACAGAAAGGGATTGATTAGGGCTTCCGTAACAGTTTTGGCCCGAGTTAGAAAATATTACACCACAGAGTATAAGACAAAAAGCACCCGAGCAGACGAGCGTAAATAAATTTATTTTGCATTCAAAAAACGTCTGATATATACTCCATAGATCATCGCGAGTTAGCTGCAGCACGTCACGCAAATAAGCATTTACATAAGTTTTAACCTCTAGAAAATCTTACACCATTAAATACAAGACAAAAAGCACACAAAGACAGACAAATGTAAATATATTCGTTTGTGTGCAATACCATATCGCAATACCATAATTTAAATTCTAGAGAGTCAATTATTCGTAGAAATAATCACAATCACACAAGATGTATGCCATTTTATTGAGCTGTGTAACACTGATTCTACAGTTGCTTCCGCCTGTTGGTAAGTCGACTACAAATACATTGAGTATCGTGGGCAGTTTATATTTTGATTTAGAGTGTCATGAAATATTAGTCAACATATTTATTAGATATCATTATGGTATTTATTTCATCAATGACAACACTAGCTTGTGTGTGTCTAAATCCGCACAAACAGAAAGAAACTAAGGTATAACTCTGCAGACATTCGAATTGGTGGTGGCCGCGCTTCATCGGTTGTTTTGTTCGCTGTTTAATACCACAGAGAGCCCAATAACATAAACATCCTGCGATCAATAATAGGATTACAGGCACTAGATTATTTAAGTAAATATACATAATGGATTTGCTGATTTTGCTGTGTTTTGCATATATATTTTACATCATTTTTCTATATACAACTATGTTTATTCATAGTAGATTTGTGCATTTTGCTCATTAATAGCCAACTAGCTCTTTTTGTTAACACTTCTTTAAAGTGTCCATATCCAGTCCTGGTCTACTAACAAGAGAGGTTGGACAAGATGTGGTGTTCATAGTTAATGCTACCAACATAGTGGCAGTCAACTGGGGAATACGAGATGGCAACACTAACAATCTGAAACAAGGGCTTATCAACTACAATAAAGCAGATGGAATACAGTTAGATAAAAAGATCAATTCAACAAGTTACGCAGGAAGAGTCAGTCTTGTTGGTGATCTGTCAAAGGGTCAGGCTTGGTTCAAGATCACAGACCTAAACATCAACGATACCAATCAGTACATGGCACAGATCTTCACACAGGGATCATCAGACTACGAATATGTAATAATGCAGTTGCATGTGATAATGCTACGTAAGTATGCTTGTCGCACATGCTACTTTTTATGACAATTACATGCTAAACATTAACAAATATTTATGATTCTTATATTGTTTTGTTGGCACTCTTTGACCAGTTTTGCAATACCGTACATCTGTGAATGCAAGGATGAAGGAAGGGATTGGCTACGGAAGCTATGAATCTTCCTTCCCAAAGATGCATGTATTATCTAAAGCAACGTTGAGGCAAAGAAATAGTGTATTTTTAAGTAAAGTAAATTCAACCTCAATATGAAGCCACTTGTATTTCAATATCATAAACGTTAATTAAATTACAAATAACTTTGGTAATTTAATATAATATATCACAGGGTGCATGTTAAGTCATAAGCTCCAAGTTGTGGTTGTCGAAAACAAAACATGGCAACTATTTCATTGTCATATATCGGGAGGATTTGGAGTCATTTGGTTGCACCCAAAAAAAAAAATGAGTGTAAAACTTTATAGAAGAATCAGCAACATAAGGCAATTACAGTCCTCTGGTCGTCCTGCTATGTCACATCTCCCCTCCATCCTATCCCCCCCCCCCCCCCCCCC